GAAATGGTATCCAAAATATATAAAGAATTCTCATAAGAAAATGAACAACTCGCCGAAACCGGTTTGGCTCAATGGATAGAGCATCGGCTTGGGGACTAAAAGGTCCCGGGTTCGATTCCGGTCAAGGGCATGTACCTTAGTTGCGGGCATATACCCAGTAGGGGGTGTGCAAGAGGCAGCTGATCGATGACTCTCTCTCATCGATGTTTCTATCTCTCTCCCTTCCTCTCTGTACAAAATCAATAAAATATAAAAAATTAAAAAAAATTTTAAAAAAAAGAAAATTTAAAAACTGGACAAAAGATTTGAAGAGACACTTTGCCAAAGAAGATACAAGAATAGCAAACAAGCACATAAAAAGCTGCTCAGCGTTACTAATCATTATGAAAATGCAAATTAAAACCACAATGCATTAGAATGACCAAAAACTTTTAAAAGGAAATGCCACCATCTCATATCTATTAGGATGACTACTATTAAAAAAAAAAAAAAAATACCACCCTAGCTGGCTTGGCTGTGGATAGAGCATCGACCTTCGGATTAAAGGATCTCATATTTGATTCCGGTCAAGGGCACATGCCAGGGCTGTGGGCTTGATCGATAGTAGGGAGCATGCAAGTGGCAGCCAGTCAGTGATTCTCTCTCATCATTGATGTTTCTATCTCTCTCTCCCTCTCCCTTCCTCTCTCAAAGCAATAAAAATATATTTTAAAATAATCCCATAAAATAACAAGTGTTGGGGAGGATGTAGAAAAATTGGAACTCTTGCACATTGCTGGTGAGACTGTAAAATGGTATAGCAACTGTGGAAAACAGTGTGGGAGTTCCTCAAAAAATCAAAACGAGAATTACCATACAATCTATAGCCATCCCACTTCTGGATATGCACTCAAAAAGAATTTGCAACCACGTTGTGGAAGAGATATTTGCCTTCCTATGTCCACAGCAGCATCATTCACAACAGCCAAGGGGTGGAAGCAAACCAAATGTCCATCAGTGGATGAATGGATAAACAAAATATGGCTTATTCATACACTGGAGTATGATTCAGCCTTAAAAAGGAAGGAAATCCTGTCACATGCTACAGGATGGATAAGCCTTGAGAACATTACGCTAAGTGAAACAGCCAGTCAAACAAAGGTAAGTCCTGCATGAACGAGGAGCATGGATTCACAAAGACAGAGATCTAGAATGGCGGTTGCCGGAGGCTCAGGAATGGGAATGAGGAGTTGTTATTTAATGGATTTAGGGTTTCCATTCCATGGCATGAAAGAGTTCTGAAAATTGGTGTACAGCAATGTGAATATACATTGTTGTTAATTACTTGGAGAGAGAAACATTGATTCTTGTTCTACTTACTTATGTGTTCATTGGTTGATTCTCATATGTGCCCTGACCAGAATCGAACCCACGTGATGATGCAGTGTTTCCCAAACTTCAGACATATGTGTCCCCCTTCTATAGTTTTCGTAACGCTGAGGACCCCTCGTACTCATGAGGACGTAGAATGAGGCGCAGCTAAGCACGGTGCAGTGCACATCCCCACCAAACTCCGGTGCAATGCGTACCCCCACCAAACTCTTCCCACTCTTCCCAAAGTGGGGGTACGCGTACCATACTTTGGGAAACACTGCTCTAACCAATCGAGCTACTGGGCCAGGATTTGTTCTGTATCTTGATTGTGGTGCAGACTTTTCTATACAAAACTGTAGACCTAAAAAAGGTCAATTGTACTGTATGTAAATTATACCTAAAAAATGTTTACTTAAAGAAATCACTACTTCTTGGATTCCCTTTTTTTCCTCAGTTTGTCAAGAATTCTAGGAAGAGAATTTATTATCAAAACTAGAGATCTGGTGCATGAAAATTCATGCGGGGCGGGGGGTAGGGGGAGGTGGCAGGGAAGTCCCTCAGCTCAGCCTGCCTCCTCTCACAGTCTGGGAGCCTTCAAGGGCGGGAAGGGACCCAGCGATCAGGGGAAGGCGATGCCCCCATCACACCTCTGCTGCTGCCACTGCCGGCAGCGCAAGCCTTGGCTGGCCCTGGTTACCTGAGCCTCAGGCAGCCCTGGGCAGCTGGGCAGCAGCCATCTGAGGTTTGCCTGCACCTTGGGCTGGCCCTGGGCAACTGGGCAGCCATCATGTGAGACTTGTCTGCACCTCAGGCTGGCCCTGGGCGGCTGGAGGGTTGAGGGGGCTGGGGGACTCTGGAGGCAGGCTACCTTTTGGTGCATGGGAGGACATTCAACCAACTGAGCCACGCTGGCCAGGGCACCATCCTAATTATAATGAATACCATTAGTAACAGGACAAATGAAAATCACTCACTGAATGAGGTACAAGGATATCCCTTCTGTGCTATTCCTGCCAAAAATGCATAATCTGAATCTAATCACCAAAAAACATCAGACAAGCCCCAACTAAGGGATATTCTTCAAAAGTGGCAAGGCCACGAAGGTCAAAAATAAATTTTTTCATGTCAAAATAAAAGGCTGAAAAACTGTTCCAGACTGAAGGCGACTACAGACAATCATTAAGCACATGAGATTTTGAACTAGACCCTATTGCTACAGAGGACAGTAATGGGACATTGGACAAAACTTAAATGGGGTTTGAGGATCCGACGGTAACGATTATTGCTGCTCATTTCCTGATTTTAATGGCTCTATTTTAGTCTTATGTAGGACAATGTCCTTGCTTGTAGGAAATACACAGGGGAAATATTTGGGGGCGATACAGCATGAGGTCAGTAACTTATTATCAAAGTAGGAAAATTTGTACGGCACTTCCAACTTTTCTGCAAGCTTGTGATTGTTTCAGAGTAAAAAAATGTATTCAAGCCGAAGCCGGTTTGGCTCAATGGATAGAGCGTCGGTCTGCGGACTGAAAGGTCCCAGGTTCGATTCCGGCCAAGGGCATGTACCTTGGTTGCAGGCACATCCCCAGTAGGGGGTGTGCAGAAGGCAGCTGACTGATGTCTCTCTCTCATCAATATTTCTAACTCTCTATCCCTCTCTCCTTCCTCTCTGTAAAAAAATCAATAAAATATATATATATTTTAAAAAATGTATTCAAGAAAGAATCCTGGGATAGTCAGTGCCTGTCACATCATCCCACACCCCAATGCGACAGGAGAGGGACAGGACAACGAAATCTGTATGCCTCTAAAACTGACAATAAAGTGCCACAGATTTGGGATCTCAAGAACACCTGCCCTTGACAATGCTTTATTTTCTGCAGCATGAAATCCAGCCCAGCACAGAGGTCTATGTTATTTGGATACAGAATGATTCAATAGACCAACAGACAAGAGGTTCGATCTACAGAAGTAGACCGCTAGCAAGGGCAGTATTAAAGTGAGATTCAATGTATATTAAAGTCAAGATCCCCGTGGGACAGGTACAGATCTGTTCATACTGTACTTTTTATAATCACCGCTATATTTCAGAGTTCCGTTTAGCCCTCTTAAACGAAAGTCCCCAATTTAAATAACACTTCTGCATTACGGCACATCATCAAACAAGTCAGCCCAGTCTTCACAAGAAAGAAAGACTACTTTTAAAATAGGGAGACATCTAGCCCTGGCCGGTGTGGCTCAGTGGATAGAATGCCTTTGGACTGAAGGGTCCCAGGTTCAATTTCGGTCAGGGGCACAGGCCCTGGTTGTGGGCTTGATTCCTAGTAGGGGGCATGCAGGAGACAGCCGATCCATGATTCTCTCTCATCACTGATGTTTCTGTTTCTCTCTTTCTCCCTCTCTCTCTCTCTCTCTCCCCCCCTCTCTCTCTCTCTTCCTCTTCCTCTCTGAAATCAACAAAAATATTTTTTTATAAATATATTTTATTGATTTTTTTTACAGAGAGGAAGAGAGGATAGAGAGCTAGAAACATCGATGAGAGAGAATCATCGATCAGCTGCCTCCTGCACACCCCCTACTGGGGATGTGCCCGCAATGAAGGTACATGCCCTTGACTGGAATCGAACCCAGGATCTTTCAGTCTGCAAGCCGACGCTCTATCCACTGAGCCAAACTGGTTTCGGCAATTTTTTTTTTTAATAAATAATAATAGGCCTAACCGGTTTGGCTCAGTGTATAGAGCGTCGACCTACAGACTCAAGAGTCCCCAAATTCAATTCCAATCAAGGAAGAGCATGTACCTCGGGTGCAGGCACATACTCAGTAGGGAGTGTGCAGGAGACAGCTGATCAATGTTTCTAACTCTCTATCCCTCTCCCTTCCTCTCTGTAAAAAAAAAAAATCAATAAAATATATTTTAAAATAATAATTAATAAAATACACACTAGATAACAAAGACTTTATAGGAAAAATAAAAAATGCGAAATATTTCATTAATGTTTTTATATTGATTATATGTTGAAATGATAATATTTTGAATATATTGAGTTAAATAATCTATATATGTAAAAGCCTAAGTGACTGTTATGACCAGACAACCAGATGACCAGCTGGTAGCTATGACACGCACTGACCACCAGGGGGAAGATGCTCAATGCAGGAACTGTCTCCGATGGTCAGTGCATGCCCACAGCCAACCTCCTATAGTCCCTCCCCCGCAGCCAGTCAGACCAATCAGCTCCGATCATAACTAGGCGAGACTGCCCTGATTGGCCCTCATTGCAGGCCAGGCCGAGGGACCCCCCGCCCCTGCACCAATTCATGCATCGGGCCTCTAGTTATTTAAATAATTTAAATAAATTTTAATCCACTTTGTTGATTTTCACGTGGCTACTGAAAAAACTGAAATCACATGTATGGCTCGAATTGTATTTCCACTGAGCAGTACTGCCTTAGGCCATTTGTGAGATCACACACTGCTAAATGCTGCAGGAACTAAGGAAGAGAATGATGATGGACTTCCCGGAAAAAACACTGAACTAGATCTAGGACAGGTTTGCCCTTCAAGATCTAATCTTTTTAAGGATAATCTCTGCCCATCTTTTCGAAGCCCACTCAGCCTCAGGAAGCAAACATCCGGGTACCTGGAAATCAGACGCACCGCTCCGCAGCTGGCTCACGTTGGGCAAGGACCCGCCGTGGTACTGTGTCAGGCGCAGTTGCTGAAGCTTCTGAAACTGAACCTGGAAACAGAGAGATTTCAGAAACGGTGAGACACACGCACACAAAAGAGAGAGAGAGAAACTCAACCCCTTTGACACCTGACGGCAAAGCTCTCAAGAAAGCACCCAAGTATGGCGTTTTGAAGAGAAATGGTTCAAGAGTGGGAAGTCTCGGTTTCAATTTCTTCTCTACCCAAAACTTTCAGGTTTCCGGCGCTTTGTGGTTTTTTTATTTGTCTATTTTTGTAAAGAATTTACCCATGTTCCTTCCACATGGCCTGTGTGGGCATGATAGTCCTCCTGCAAGACATTTGAGTGTGTATGTGTAGGCAAGCAAGCACCATCTTTATTTTTTTTATTTTATTTTAATATATTTTATTGATTTTTTTTTTTTGCCCCTCTCCCTCCCTCCCATACATATCCTCCCTCCCCAGCGTTTTATGTCCATTGATTGTACTTATATGCATGTATACAAGTCCTTCGGTTGATCTATCTCCCCCAGATCTCCCTCCCCTCCCCACTGTAATTTGACAGTCTGGAAAGCACTATCTTTAATAGCGACAAGGAATTTCTTCTAAAAAATATTTATTTTTTAAATTTATTGATTTCAGAGGAAGAGAGAGGGGGAGAGAGAGAGAGAAACATCAATGATGAGAGAGAATCTTAGATCAGCTGCCTCCTGCACTCCCCCCACTGGGGATTGAGCCCACAACCTGGTTATGTGCCCTTGGCTGGAATGGAGCCTAGAACCCATTGGTCTGCAGGCCAATGCTCTATCCACTGAGCAAACCTGGCCAGGGCAGGGAATTTTGTGAAGAAAAACTAAGCCACTGTCTAGCAGTCTGTGACATTAGCTGCCCTCCCATCTCCATGTTCTTCTCCAGTCATTCACCTTAATGGGTAAAGACTGCATAGTTGTAGCCGAAACCGGTTTGGCTCAGTGGATAGAGCGTCGGCCTGCGCACTGAAAGGTCCCGGGTTCAATTATAGTCAAGGGCATGTACCTTGGTTGCGGGCACATCCCCAGTAGGGGATGTGCGAGAGGCAGCTGATCGATGATTCTCTCTCATCAACGTTTCTCTCTATCCCTCTCTCTTCCTCTCTGTAAAAAATCAATAAAATATATTAAAAAAAAAGACTGCATAATTGTAATCATGACACAGGTACACTCTGAAGCCTTTTCTAGATTACATAATCATATTTCATGGCAACATAACACTGTTCTGAATCATTTCCATAGGACACATTTCAAAGAGTGATTACTAAGTCTCTGGGTACGGGCCTCTGAATGGCTCTCGACACGTACCGCCAAAATGTGTTCCCAAAAGGCATACCCATGTACATAGGAGAGAGCAGTCTCACCGAAAACCCCACCAACGCTGGGTAAGACCACGAATTGGGGTCAGAAAGGAGGCCGACGGAGCAGGTACAAGATGGATTTCCACCGTTTCAACGTGCCTTTCTCCCGCCAGCTGCCCCTCGCTTCGTTTTTCAAAAGGCAATAAACTGGTTACAGTTCTTGTAAACCCCAAAGTGGTCCGGTTTAGTGTTTAATAGTCCTCTTTCTAAAATAATAAATGACCTCTGCGGTTACATAACGCTTGGCACTTATGATTCATGTTGGGAGGAAAGGGTAGACGGGAACCCCGAGGCAGGCTTTGACCCTTTCGTTACTGTTTCTCTTTGATTGCAAACATGACCAGGGCCGAGTCTCCACTGCCTGCTTCATCTCTAACCCGGGGAGGCTGCGTTAGACCTGGAGACCAGACTTAGGGAAGTTCAGAGGCTTGTGCAAGGTCGAGGGAGGTTTTACGCAAGCTGACGTCTAACTAAAAACCCATATTCTTTCTTTTCTTCTTATATTTTAATTGATTTCAGAGAGGAAGGGAGAGAGGGAGAGAGAGAGAGAGAGAGACACATCAATGATGAGAGAATCACTGACCAGCTGCCTCCCTCATGCCCCCCATTGAGAACCGAGCCCATAACCTAGGCATGTTCCCTTGACCGGAATCGAACCCGGGACCTTTCAATCTGCAGGCCGACGCTCTATCCAGTGAGCCACATCAGCTAGGGCAATCCATATTTTTTCTTATTTCTGTCACATTCTTTTCCTTCTCTTCCCCCCCCCCCCATTTCTCTCAATGACCATACTGCTTACAAGCTGAGAGAAACGTGAAGTTCCGTTAACCAAAAACATTGCTGACCCCATAAAGCCCTCTGATTTTTTGTTTTTTTCCCATTTATTATGAAAAACTTTCCAATATATAAAAAATAGACAGAAGCATAATGAAACCCCATCGAGCCCTCTTCCAGCTTCAACAATGTTCCCAACTTATGTCTAATCTTTTTTTAAATATATTTTATTGATTTTTCACAGAGAGGGAGGGAAAGGAATAGAGAGCTAGAAACATCCATGAGAGAGAGACATCGATCAGCTGCCTCCTGCACACCCGCACTGGGAATGTGCCCGCAACCAAGGTACATGCCGTTGACCGGAATCAAACCTGGGACCCTTCAGTCCGCAGGCCGACGCTCTATCCACTGAGCCACACCGGTTTTGGCTTTTGTCTAATCTTGATCCATCTTTTCCCCCTCCACTGCCCGCAGCAGTCCACTAAGAGAAATCCTGGGAATCATATTCCGTATTCCAAAAGATAAGGACCTGTATCTGTCTGGACGTTTTAAACCCTTTGGCAGGCTTACTTTGTTTAAGTTCTGTTTGACTTACGGAATTTTATTTCTCAAACCTACTTCTCTGGGAGATGGTTATGACCTATTAACCAAAACCCAGATCTGAGAGTCAAAGGTGAGGAGGAGGTCATGGTGAGCTTTCCCATCCATCAGCTGAGTTAGAAGAATCAAGCCTCAGCTTTTGATCTTAACATCCTCAAAGTTCTCCCCGGAAGCATTTGACGGCTGGCCTTGAAATTCTCGAGACACAATTCTCACCCTTCTGGATCTAGAGCCTTTGATTCCTTCTTCCATCAATCTGTCCATTTGTTCACTGACATACAAACTTTTTAAAACTACATATATTTTGCCTTAGCTGGTCTGGCTCAGTGGATAGAGCGTCAGCCTGCGGACTGAAGGGTCCCAGGTTCGATTCCAGTCAAGGGCACATGCCTGGGTTGTGGGTTTGATCCCCAATAAGGAGGCGTGCAGGAGGCAGCCGATCAATGATTCTCTCTCCTCATTGATGTTTGTTTTAAAATATATTTTACTGATTTCTTACAGGGAGGAAGGGAGAGACATAGAGACTTAGAAACATTGATGAGAGAGTCACTGATCAGCTGCCTCTTGCACACACCCCCTCCTGGGGATGTGCCCGCAAACAAGGTACATACACTTGACCAGAATCGAACCCGGGACCCTTCAGTCCACAGGCTGATGCTCTATCCACTGAGCCAAACTGGTCTCAGCCTCATTGATGTTTTTTTTTTTTTAATCTCTTTCTTCCTCTCTGAAATAAAGTATGTGTGTGTGTATTTATATATATTTTTTTTTTATTGATTTCAGAGAGAGGGGGGAGAGAAAAAAACATCAATGATGAGAAAGAATCATGGATGGGCTGCCTCCTGCACACCCCCGACTGGGGACGGAGCCCACAACCGGGGCCTGAGCCCTGACGAGTAATCGAACCGTGACCTCCTGGTTCCTAGGTCGACGCTCAATCACTGAGCCGTGCGGTGTGTCAGGTGCTGTGAATCTGACCATGTACCAAAGTGCCTGCCTTCAGAGAGTTCTCACAAAGCCTTCAACTCCTACCTCAAAGCCTTGACACTTCAACCAAGCTAAGCTCTACATCCGGCTAGACCTCTGCCGCCTGCTGAGCTGGAGACCCCCCTACAGGACCCCTCATCTGCTCTCCCTCCCAAAGCGCCTATTCTAGAACCTTCTGAGGCTGCTGCACCACAGCGGAAAGAGCTCTGGACTTGAAATTAGAGGACCTGACTGTGTGATCTGGAACCACCATGCGGCTGGGCCAACTACTCTGCTGTCTATTTCACAAGACGCTGTAAGGATTAAAAGAAAGAAGAAGCCGAAACCGGTGTGGCTCAGTGGATAGAGCGTCGGCCTGCGGACTGAAGGGTCCCATGTTCAATTCCCACCAAGGGCATGTACCTTGGATGCGGGCACATCCCCAGTGGCAGGGGGGTGCAGGAGGCAGCTGGTCGATGTTTCTCTCTCATCAATATTTCTGGCTTTCTATTCCTCTCTCTTCCTCTCTGTAGAAAAATCAATAAAAATTTTTTAAAAATCATTCCAAAAAAAAAAAAAATGGTGCTGAAAAATTTGGTCGGTTAATGCAAAAAATAAAAAATAAAAAACTAGAAAAAGAAAGAAAAAAGAGGCATGACAGTGGTATGCAAAATGTAAAGCTCTGGGCAGCTTCCCAAAATACCATTATTGTTGATATTCTCAGCTGCCCCTAAAGCTCTGAGCAATTTGGGTATTTTTCTCTCTTGAGACGTAGAACCACTGAACCAGAAAGAACCTTCGCGACTGTCTGTGACACTGTCCTGACAGCTCACCGATGATGCAAATGAGAACCAGAAAACGATTAGTGAGAAACAGAGGTCACAGACTGGCAGGCTTAGAGAGTTCTGTTTGACCCACATGACCTTGAACCACTCAAAGTTTAAAATTTTAATTTTTGCCCCAGCCAGTTTGGCTCAGTGGATACAGCATCGGCCTGTGGACTGAAGGGTCCCAGGTTCCATTCAGGTCAAGAGCACATACCTCCTCGGTTGCAGGCTCCTCCCTGGCTCGGACCCTGGTCAGGGCGCGTGCAGAAAGCAACCAATCGATGTGTTTCTCTCACATCGATGTTTCTCTCTGTCTTTCCCTCTCTCTTCTACTCTCTCTAAAAAATCAATGGGAAAATATCCTCAGGTGAGGATTTAAAAACTAATAATAATAATAAAATAAAAATTTAATTTTAAAAATTGGACAACTGCATAAAAATCTGGATTTCCAGCTTCTACTAACTGAGACCAGACAATACTGAATCCATATTCTTT